AGTACCTCTTAGCAAGCTTCCTTATCTTAGCAAAGGTTATATAGCACAAACCTAAGCACATTATACCTAATGGAGAAATTTAAATGCATTCCCCTTTAAAATTGGGAACAAGACGAAACATCCCACAACCATCACTACTTAACAGTGCTAGAGGACCTGGCCAATGCTATAAGAAAAATAAAAGAAGACTGTATAAGGTTTAGAAAGGAAGTGACAAAACTATCATTTGCAAATGATAGAAAAATCCACAGAAACCAACTGTTAGAACTATTAAGATAGTTCAGCATAATTACTAAAGATCAACCTATGAAAATTACATTTCTCTAGCCAACAATCACTAACTAGAAAATACAATTAACAAGCATTTACAATAGCAGAAAAACCCAAAGTATTAAGCATGAAGTTAACCAACAATAAAGAAAGTCTCCATAGAGAAAACTTTAAAATTCTAAAAATAGAATACAAAGATATTCTATGCTTTTGGTTGGAATGACTTTATGTTAAAAACATGCCAATTTTCTTCAAATTAATCTACATATTCCATATATCCCAATTAACATTCCAGATGGATTTTTAAAAAAATTCAATAAGCTTACTTTTAAATATATATGGAAGAATAAAGGTTGAGGATTGGCTTATTCAATCTTAAAGGGAAAAAAATTAACATTGGAGACTTGCCCTCCCAGATACATGACATCCTACAGAGTCATAGTATTAAAAAGTGTTGTAATGGTACAAGGTCAAACAAGAAGACCAATTAAACAGAACAGGAAGCTCAGACAAACTTAATAAACAATAAAAGTGGCTCTACAAATCACTGAGAAAAGAATGATCTAGTAGATTGCGTTCAGAAAACTAGCTCCTTATGTAGAGAAAAAAATAAGACTTATTGAGAAGACTAAGACAGCATCTCTAGCCAGAACCGAACCAAAAATGGGTTCTAGAAGAATTAAGGACCTAATGAGAAATGTAAAACTATAAAGTTAACAGAGGGACAGAAAAAGACCTCTGAAACAAAATTTCAAAAGTATGAACAATAAGGCAAAACACTTATTGCCTAATTATATAAAATTAGGGCTTTCTGTCAAACAACGCTAATAGACAGATGATAGAATGGGACATATTTGCAATATCTAAAACCAACAACTGGTTACTATTGTACCTAGATTTCAAATAACTGTTACAAATCAACTGGAAAATAACAATTCCAACAAAAAATGGACAAAATATATAAACAGGAAACTTTTAGAAAAAAGAAACCCAAAAGGCCAATAGGCAAATGAAGAGATGCTCAAATCCAGAGCAAGTAAGACAAAAATGAAACTGGCTATCATACTGGCAAGAGTTAAAAATTGTATAATGCTAACTATTGGCATGGATATGAGAACACAGGAATCCTCATATACTGGTGATGAAACTATAAATTGGTGTAGCCATTCTGCAGAGCAAACTGACACACCTCAAGCAAATTAAGCATACATATATTTTATGACACAGCAATTCTACCCTTAGGTATATAACCCAGAGAAATGTCCACACAGGTCCATAAGTTGGCACATACAATGATGTTCATGGCAGTGTTATTTATAGTGTCAGGCTATATAGGTTAGGTGTTCATTGCTGAAAGAATGAGGAAGCAAAATGTGGGGAACGCATGTGAGTACTATGCAGCACTTGAAAGCAATGGACTAAATGTTCATATAACAATAGGATATAGATCTTAAATACCATTTAGATATATTTTTAAGATACATGCACAGGAAACAACACACAACTTGCAAAAAACATATACAAAAAATATATAATACACACATTGGAATGGCTGCCTATGAGAGGAGGAGAATGGGAGTAGAGAAAGGAGATGTGTGAAGACTAATCATCTAACATACTGTATAATTTACTTATGTTTATCATCTATCTTCACTATTAGCGTCTATCTTCACTATTCTGTAAGCGTCATGAGGACAGGAGCCTTCACTACCTCCTGAATGAAACCATTCCCTCTTACGTCCCAAGCAAGGTGCCAAGAATACCTAGCACATAACAGGCACTCAAATTGTGTTGAATTAATACCAAAAAAGAGGGGTCCTGCATGGCCCAGTTGTGATAATGATATCTAAAAACAAAAAACCAATAATAGATGAATGAAGACCAAGAATAGGGGGATATGGCCAATCTAACTGGAGGGAGTTACGGATTATGAAAAGCTGGTGATGAAATATTAATGGTTTCACCTGGCACCAAGAGCTGGGATGCACCATACTCAGCCAGAATTTAGAAATATGATGTTAGTTTCATGGTGCCACATTCTGGGGTAGGTCTTGGAGGCGTGGTCTACCTTCAGGATCCACTAACAAGAAGCACACAATTTCAGATTCAAGTTATATATGAATAGCTCTAGAAAAAAACGTTTTGGATGAGTGTACCAAACTATCTCTTCATTAAGATTAAAACTGTTGATTATTGACTTGATCTAACAGAAATGTGTCCTGCTGGTACAAGCTAAATAAAAGTTAATCAACTTTCAGCCACATTCATATGCAAAAGAAATGGCATAATTATATATTCTATATTGGAATTCTATACTGGGAACACATACCTCTCTACAGCTTCTAAATTATTCACTGGAAATTCAGAGGACAGATTAAATGTAATCTTTCCTTACAGATTAATAATTAAAAAAATTTTAATACAAATTCATATTGATAACCTAAATCTATTTTTCATTCTTCCACACATTTTAAAACAACTATGGCTTTATTGCCACATGATATTTCCACTTCAGCAAACTGCCCCTTACATAGTTCCCATTGTAACTATGTTTAATGAGTATGACAATTCTGAAATACTGTCAGATATGTTTTTATTTCCAACAAATTTTATTTCATTTCAGCTTCCTCCTCATTAATTAATGACATTTATTCCTCCAGGAGAGTGTGAATAACACCTGAAATAAAGGGGTCGTTAATCAGCTCTGAGCTTTAACGTGGACTTTTTTAAATTAAGAAAGTAGTATCCAGAGCAGTCTGAGATAGTCTCTTTTTCAAGAAAAGGAATTCAAGCTCTTTTTAAATAACAAAAGTCGAGCTTGGATATCTGACGGTAACATTTTGTCTATAGGAGGCAGTGAGAGCACAGTATTTGATTTGAAAGAAATGCCTATCCAACATCAAGTAGAAAGGGAAGGTCCTCCTTGCACTTCTGGGCAAAAAGAACAAGAGAGGGAGAGAGAGAGGTGAAGCAGACCCTTGTTACTCAAAAAGAATTATCCAACTAGCAGCAGCAACATCACCTGGGAGCTTGTAAAACTGTAGACTCTCAGGCCCCACCCCAGACTTACTGAATTGGAATCTGTATGTTAACAGTATTCCGCAGGTGATTCACATGCACATTAAAGTGTGAGAGTCACTGATGTAATAAAAGCAGAAGTAGAAGACTTTGGGGAGAGACACTTCCTCCACTGTAAGAAAAGGATAAAGTGAGTTTATGCGTAGGTAGCTTTGATAGAAAATGACGAAGATTCAGTCTGATGGTTTCCATTGTTTCCGTCTTTAAAAGTTTTCATTCCCTTAGCAGTAATAATCTTTTTCATTCATTCATTTAAAAAGAAGTTAATGCGTGCCTGTAAGGTGCTATTGTCACAGTCTTCAAATTCTCAAAATTTTATCTTTGAACTTGTAAGTGAAGTGTTAAGTGTGTGAACTTTTAAGTGAAGTCTGATGTGACAATAAATAACGTCTGTGAGCAGACGAGATATGCACAAAAAAGGAAAAAAGCTTTATATTTTAGCACTTTTAATGGCTCTTTCCTGCTTTTTGAACAAGGGGCCTTGCATTTTTTTTTCTGTAGGAGACTTTTATTTTTGCTGGGGAAGACTCGCCCTGAGTTAACATCTGTTGCCAATCTTTTTTTTTTTTCCTTCCCAAAGCCCCAGTGCCTAGTTGAAAGTCCTTCTGGTTCAAAGAGCCCAACTTTAACCACTAGGCCATCAGGGCTGGCTCAAGGGCCCTGCATTTTTATCTTGCACCGGGCAGGGCCAATGATGTAGCGGGTCCTGGGGCTAGTCAAATACAACTACGTGTCCGATACTGTCGTAGAAGGGAGAATGGAGTAGCTATGAAAGGGTGAGTGATGATTTCATGGGGAAAATGATACCCAAGTTAGGCTCTGAAGGACAAAATGGAGTTTGCCAGGTGACAAGGGTATTCCAGAAAGAGAAAGCTGGGGAAGAGCAGCATTCCTACATCAATGTGTAGACTTCTATGTGTATACTTATTTCTCGTAAGTTAAAAAGCTTCACAGAAGTTTGGTATATCTTCAACATACTGGTTTATAAAAATTCTAAATTACCTGTGTACTAGGCACCAATTCCATTTCCCGGAGAACTCACCGACTGGGAGCGCAGATTTGGGGATAGGCAATGTACAGGGATGAACAAACATGCCTTCGGTTTAGATTTTTACCTGGGTTTGCGCCTCTCCCCCAGACCGGGAAAGTGGTTTGGGTGCTTTCCAAGCGGTCGGGGATGAAGGTTTCCACCCCCACGGTGGCCTGGGAGAGCAGCGGTGGGGGGGTTTCCTCCTCGAAGTGGCTCCAGTTAGCATCGCCACAGAGTTTTACTATTTCTTTCAGGAGGTGCCTGCCGCACAGCTTCCTGGCTTCCCTGATGTCGCGTAGCTCGAGAGAGACCCGAACCAGCGGGAGCCCGAGCAACAGCACACACACGCAGAGAGGCCGCAGCATCCCCGCGCCCCAGCCAAGGCCCCCGCGCTCCTGTTCTAACCGCCGTCCGCTCCCGCGCCCGCTCGAACCGCGCACGCGCACCTGGCGGGTCTTTCGACGGCGTGCGGACCTCGCGAGAACGCCAAGGCGAGGCTTGGGGTGGCGAGCCCGCCTGGGCTCAGGCGCTCCCCGGGGCTCTCAGACCGTTGAAGGCAGCAAGGCTTAATTCTTAAAATGATTGCTTCATTTTTCCTCCCATCGTCACTAGAGAGACTCACCAAAGGAAACACGGGGCCCCAGTTAACCGATGAAGCCATAAAAAGATGTTGCTCCCTCAGTGGAATGCATTTCCCGCCCTTTTTGCCTGGTTGTTCATGGGGCGTCGCTTCCTCAGAGAAACCTTCCGTCGTCTCCTTCACGGTGTTTGGATCGTCAGGTTTGTTCCCTCTTATTGGGGCGCTTAACTTCTTCTCCACAGCCCCACGCTCCCTGAGGGCCGTGCCTGTGTCCGTGCTCGTTTCCATTGTTCCTCAGGGCTTGACGCGTTGTCGGCAACCAAACCTGCTGAAACCTGCGTGTTCGAGAACGTGTCAGCGCGTTTCAAAGTCGGATTCAAAGCTGCTTCGGGAAATTCCTGCTAGTTCCGCAGGGAGACACGGGCGTTCGCCTCAATCTCCAGAACAAAGAGGGTCCCCGGGGGGACACTGCGCTTCCTCCGCTGCTAGATTATGGAGGCTTGTCTATTGCCAAATTGTAACTAGCTTGTGACAGGGCCCCCTAGCGGCTTTGCCTGCTGAGAATGACAGCGTTTCGCCACGTTAGGAGGGAAGGGGCAGGGCAGCGCCGCGCAGCGGCACGGGTCGTTCGCCTGCGGTGAGTTGGTCGGAGGGACGGCCCGGCGGCCGCACGTGGGCAGCGCTGGGCGGCCCGAGGCGCGGGGGCGGCCGGACGCCCACGCCTGCGACCCGGCCCGCGCTGCTCGGCGCAGTGTCACCGCTTCCCTTCAGGATTCCTTCTCCTCTCCTTTCTGCCTTCCGCCTCTGTGTCTTTTTCTCCATTTTCCGTTCCCCCGGCTTCGCCCTGCCTCCCAGGGGCATGCGTGTGTGCTGTCGAATTAACTGGCGATCGGATTTTTTAAAAGATGGACATCGTTGGATTAGCACAATTTCCTCGCCTTCCTCGAAAAACGACTCACGTCCAAACTATAGTGGGCTGTGAGTCCTAGTCAGAACTTTATCAGGGAAACCCTGTGAGAAAGGAAAATATTCGTTATACTGAGAGGAGTATTACAAAGCAGCAAATAAACAAAAAAACCTCTCCAGCAATATGCGTCAGACCCGGCACTTGTGATTTATGCTCGCGCTCGCTCTGCACGGTCCGTCCCCGCGCCCTGCTCGGTGTTTCTCCGTGCCGTTCCCTTCAGACTGATGTCCTATATGCTTGACTTCTCTGTGTTTCCTGTCTGTCTCCTCCTACCAGAATGTAAGCTCCATACAGGCAGGGGTTTTTATCTTGTTTACTTTGATATCTTTGCCTTGAACAGTGCCTGGCACATAGTAGATTTTTGGTAATGATTTAATGTTAACAATTATAATTCGTAATGTTAACAGCAAATAATAAGTGAAATGTTAATAATACCGACAATCATATAATATTTGGTGAATGAATGAATAAACTCCCTGAGAATTGGCTGCTTGTTCCCTTATGCCCTGTTTCATACTTATGTCATAATTATAGTTCTTTATGGCACTATGGTGAATTTTTGAAAAATCATTGTAATCATCTCTTCTCTGCTAGTGGTAAGCTCATTAAGGAGTGGAACCATGTTTCGTATTTATTATTCAATGCCCAGGACGGTGACTGCTAAATAGACGCTTATTAAATGTTTAGTGAATGAATGGACACGTTCCTAACTGCTAGTACTAATTAATCTCATAGCGAGATTTAATGAACTTTTGAATTCAACAAATTATTAGTGAAATGACTTTTTTTGAATGAATAAGTTACTATTATTGCTGAATGAATTCCTGATTTATTTATTAATATCTTATCCTAGCTACCGTATTCCAGAATATTGTGATAAAATGGGAGCTGCCCAATAAACTATATTTGAATATTTATAAATGAGAATTTCAGTTATGCAAGATGGAATATGGGATTGTTAGGAATTATACTAGAATATTTGTTTGTTTCTCAAGATGTTTTAGCATTTTATGTTGATATCTCGATATGGGAACTAGGATTCCCCATGGTTTAATCCTTTAAATTTTTAGTTTGAGAATATTAATTGTGGGCACAATTAATTATAATAACTATAGTACTTGCTTGCTTATAATACAAGTAATGTCTCCTTTATTTACTTTTTTACTTTCTGTCCAATTTATTGTCTGTCTTTCCTACTATAACATTGCTCTTGTTAACACTGTATTCTTGGTGTTTATACCAAATATGTATTCTTGAATATATACAAATAGTATATATTCAAAGATATGTTTTGAGAGAATGATCATAATAACATATCATCTGCTGATTACCCCATATCAGGCATTATTCTATGTACTTGTATGTGTTTTACCCTATTTAATCCTATTGCAATCATATCAAGTAGTACTATAATTATCCCCACTTTATAAATGAGAGAGCTCAGACTTAGAGAGATTAAGAGACTTGCCTAAAATGACAGAGGTAGTAAGGGGCAGAGGCCTGATTAGAAATAGTCTGTTTCAGGAGCACAAACTCTTAACCTACTTTACATAACTTGTCAAAAGAAGATTATAAAAACAAATAATCTAGTTTTGTGTTGATGGTACATGATATCATAATATCAAAGCAAACCTTTTGAGACAAAAACCTTAAGTTAGAGGAAATAATAATTCGAACCAAAAAAAAAAAAAAAACCTGCACACACACACACACACACACACACAAACCTAAGGTAATCTCCTCAGAATGGGTTTAAAAATTTACTCCATTGGTAGTAAAGACATTTAGAGGCTGGTCCCAGCAACAAGACTAGGTAGCTATACAAACTTGCAGAACTTATGTACCTCAGTTTCTTTATGTATATCATGAATATAAGAACATATGCCATAGGTTAAAAGTAGATGATAATAGTATCTTCTGATAAAGCTATTAAAGGATTAAATAAGATAATACATTAAATGAGATAATACACTAAATGAGATAATACATGAGATAATAAATGAGAAAATACAGTGCCTGACACATAATACTCAATAAGTATTAGCTGTTATAATTATTGCTATCTCTATTTTATTCGAGTCTGAGAATGCAATGAGGTAATAGGTAGAATGCTCTTTAAAATAAATGTTGTATTCTTTATATATCAGATATCACTGTTAATTTGGCCAGAGTTTGAGAAAGTACATTTAAAATCATTTTTCATCTTTTTATTTCCAGTACATAAAAGAGAGGATGCAGTCAATATAGCTATGGTCCAGCTCTAAAAGAAGAGATTTTTCCATTAATTCGGCATGGAAAAAAGTCTTTGGTGTTCAGGAGATATAAATGAAATAAGTGAAATATCTTTAAGCACAAGAAGCTTAGACTTTTTATTCTAATTATATTGAAAATGTAATAGAGTAAAAACATTACTGGTTAAATGTTAAAATGAACTGTAGAGAATAGAAGGGGGAGACTAGTGTGGGCTGCAGTGGTCTTGGAAGTTTCATCTTGGAGACAGAACTTAACTGGGCTTTGATGGAAAGTTAAGCAGTGGAGAGGCAGGGCTGACACTTCAGGAAGAAGAGAAGATGGCAGGTACAAAGGTATGGAAAGCAAGTGAGCAAAGTATATTCTAGGGAAAAGAACCTAGATAATAGTTGTGTTAGGGATTAGTAGGAGATTATAAACTAATTTGTGGATAAGTTGTGGACAAGATGAAACTGAAGCTTGAGGTAAATAATTTGACTGTAATGTATACAGAAGAGGAGGGAGAAGAATTGAAAGTAGAGAAACCAACTGGAAGTCCACATTATTGATCCATGTATTGGTGAGAGCTAGGAATAGGATGGAAAGAGTGGAATAAACAAGACTGATAGAAGTGATTTTTAAAGAAAGCATCATAGGATTTGGTGACTCATTACATGTAAGCTGGATGTGAGAGAGAAAGAGTAATTTTACAAGACAAGGGCTTTGAGTTGTAGAGGATGAAAATGCTGATGACATTGAGGAAAATCATGAAGGAATCTAATCCCACAGTAAAGCTTTAGACATGATGAATTTCAGATGACTGTAAAACATTCCAGAGGAGTTGGCTAACAAAGAAAATGAAAACCTGGGGTTGGAAATATGCTGAGATGTCCAGCCTGGAGATCCAGATTTGGAAGTCAACGGCAAAGAGTTGTGAGTTAAAGTATTAAAAATTAATCAGGACTGACTGATGGGTATACAGTTTCAAGACAGAAAGGAGGCAATTTCATGTGGGAAGAAGCAAGAAAAGAGTTAAAGAAGGAGAAAAGAAGATAAGAGAGAAGACGTAAACAGAATGATGTCATTTCATAAAAGCAAAAACAGAAGAGAATTTTAAAAAGAGACGGTCGTCAGTGGAGTCAAATATCAAAGAGAAGTAAAAGAGAAGAGAGTTAAGATCGAATTTTGGTGTAGGAGGCCAGTGTAGAATCTAACAGGGTAAGAGTCAGGTAGGGAACAGTTCATAGTGGGTCCCAAAGGGAACGAGAAGTGAAGAACTAGGAACAGTTCTATTGGTTTGGCAGAAGAACCGTTGATGCAAAGACCATTTTTTGTTGTTGTTGTTTATAAAAAATGTTAGAAGTAAATAGAGGAAGATTCCCATGCAGAAGGAGGGGTTGATAATGTGCAAGGTCAAAGTGTGTAGCAAGATAATTAGTTGAGATAATACTTTTTCTTTCTGTATTTTTCCGTTCAGCTTTCCATACTCTCTCCACAAACTTAAACCAAGTATCCAGAGCCTTAGTATTTTCCCATATGACACACTTTTGCAGGCTAGAAAGCAGAAGCTTCTTAAAGTTGCTTTTCCCATGACCTATAAATACCTTAGTTAGCCAAAAATTATGCAAATGTTCCCAACGGACAAGAGAGAGGAAGCAAACGAGAGTGAGCAAGGGGAAGAAAGAGAGAGGAGAGAGAGAGAGTTTTTCCTTATACTAGAAAATAGTTGAAGGCCTAGAGTCCTGAAATAACAAATTATTGCTGTGCGATGCTGATTGACAATGCCCTGGAGAGGTGAAGACCTCACAAGGAATAGCTGTGTGGCATACCTAGGGAAACAGGACCCTGAGCAGAGGAACAAGCACTCTTGGCAAAGTTCTGCTGACCCTCAGCAAGGGAGGCAAGCAGCTGAATTGAAGGGACCACGCAGGCTTGGGTAGTAGGTGTCATGATGCAAGGCATTGAAAACTATGGATCCTGGGGACATAAAGCTTTGGTGCTGAGACCCTCAGTTTCAAGCACAGCTTAATGAGGCAGCTCCATTAGAATAATATCTGACGCTAAATTCCCAACTCAGTGACAGAATTTGGATTTATATCGATTTGTTAAAAATGAAGAAGTTGGGTATTTCTTACACACTAGAGACTATGCTTGCAATTTCATGTGTCTGTTATGCATAGACACAGTCTTTTAGAAATAAGAAAAGTATGGGTCATAACTCACACAGGCAGGTAGAGGGTTACATTTTGGGCGTACTTTTCCATCTAAAATGGATGAAAAGTTAGGCTAGGAGTAGTGGTATGTACTACTAAGTGAAAGTAACTGAGTCATTGGATGGTGGTGAAAGACCTCAGTGTTATCAGTTAAGTATGACTTGAGAACTAGTCGAGTGGGGAGGGGACCTTGGAGCAAATGGAGTTCTGGAATTGACAATGAGCAATGTGCTGGGGAATAAATAAAACATGAATGAAAGTGTTGAAATCAGCAACAAAGTTTCCATGATGAAAGTGTAACTCTTGAAAAATGTTGACTTTCTCCCTGAAGTTACATTCTATTGGTTCTGCTTCCTTCATGTGAAGAAGCTCTTTAAGGTGGCCTTGGGGAGCACATGATGAACCTGAGAGGCTTGGTTATGATTAGCCATGACTGGGGATTTGCAATATGGGAATTGCTGTCTTTATCTTCTGTAATTCTGTTGACAGACGCTTGATGGAGGAGATTAAATTATTATAAGTACACTTTCTCTACAAACTCTAACAAAAAATGTATAGGAATATAGGTTGAAGAAACTGACTAAATAATAAGATTATACCATGCTGGTTTACTATTCTAACAAATGTTCATATTGTTTCACAGTTTATTTTGCTTACATAAATGTTCTACAAATTCTAAAATGATGAACCTAAATGCATTCCTTTATCAATCTAGTTCTATTCTAAGAAAA